TCTTTGTAAACAAATCAAGTTTTTCCTCGTCCAAATCATTAAAATCAATATTGTCAAAACCAATAGAATCAAGCTCATGTTTGCAAGGTCATCTGATTTTTGCTTACCCCACCTTTTTAGATTCAACTCATACGTTTGAAGAGATCCAATCACTCATCAATACTCATTGCATCCACACCTTGACACTCTTCAAGAGGATCACTTTGACATAAACTTCTTGGCAGTGAGCATAACACTCCTGACAGGCTTAAAGTTAGAAAAAATATTCCAAGGCAAAACATTCATTACAAACATCACATATCCTACCATGAAATCAAAAATGTTCATCACCAAGCATAGTCAAGTTTTCAAAATCGGTGACCAATCTCCTAAGTCTTGTCTTCTTAACAACATCAATTCCCTCATTTTTAATCTATGCTTATTCCAAACATCTTTAGCTATCTCACAATTTACAATAATTTTCATTTGATTAACATCACAGCATTAAAGATGGCATGTATGGCTTTGGAGTTAAAGTTCACAAGCTCAAGCTCCTTTTTGGTCCCTCATCATTTTGTCCATAGTAATGGGGCAATCCAACTATTCACAATGGAGACTCATGCTCTCTCATCAATGGATTTTAAGAAACATGCATTCTAGGTCTCCATGTATAGTAGTTAGGACCTTCTAACAAGGGTGGTCTATAAGTTGACCTCTCACTAAAAAAGCTCATGACAGTAAATACTTAGACAAACGTGAGCACAAAAAACTGATGTGCACACATGAACAAGCAGCAGAACAAAAACAAAACACCACAATAGACAGATTTCGACACAACACAAAACCAATCAGATGCACAGGAAGCAAACAAAATTAGTGAGGATCAACTAAAAGAACTTATCAAAACAAGCTCTAATACCACTTGTTAGAGTTGGTAAACTCTATTACATTAGATACCCATTTTTAAAGTGCAGCGGAAGATTTACCAAGTTGATTAATGGTTACAAGTTAAGCATGAATCAACAACCACAAGGTAAAGATAAGCACACAAGTAACACATGGTTTGGCTAAAACCACTCTTAGCCTATATCCATGGGATCTCATCCAAATCGAAACTAATCCAGTATAACAACAAACATTACAACATATCACTCAAAGTTGATTTTAGATACAGCAAAGAGAACTTTGTTCTACGTTACACTAATACCACCCTCTGAATCTTAATGCTTCATTGCTTCCGGATCACTCCAGACCAAGAACACTCCCAGACAATGCTTAGCTCTACCCAAGCTTCACTCGCCAAAGAACACCTCCAACTTCCACGACTTGAACTCATTTCAAGCTCTTAGCGTAGGAACCAAGTTCCAGCAACAACAAACAATAACAAAGATGAACAAAATGATTTAATGCTATATGGAACCTAAAGGAATTAATTCTCTGAAGAATTTTATAGACAAATAAAATATTAATATCCAAGTTCAAAGAGCAAGAAGAAAAAGATGGGTTTAAATAATCCTTGCTTGACCAATTTTTTAAGACAAGTGGCATTATCTCTTTCATCTTTTGTTGGGATCACAAACAAAAGCTTACCAACTTTGTAGTACCACAAGAGAAGAGGTGGACACTATAAAGAGAAAACTCAAACAAAAACTATGAAAGATATAAAACTTGATGGGCAAGATAATATAAGAAAATGCCACATATGCAAAAAGAATCAAAGCACAAACAAATACAATATCAAGGGTTAGCTTTACAAATGAGCAAGAATGAAGGTGATATATACCAATTTGTGCTTCCCAATTCTTGCAATCAACAAACAAGGGCTGACATATGGTGGTCCAAAAATGGAAAAGATTCCACCAATTTTGGGGCACAAACAAAAAGGGAAAAAGCTTTTCCCTGGACCACAAGGGATATTGAGACAATTGTAAGTGGTCCTCATGACAGCACAACAGATGGACAAAAAACATCTCAATTGATAAAGATAAAAATATAACTTGTGCAAAGTGAGGCAGACATGTGATGTGTAACATATAAGAATAGTGTGCGCACACACGAAGTAAAATGCAAAATGAATTCAACATGCATAAATCTGACTCAATGTGACATACACAACAGATGTGCACACAAACAACAAAAGTTTGACAAAAAATATCACAATTAGAATATAATTGGAAGAAAACGTTGGAAGGTTTAGATTTTAGATTAGAATATTGGTTGTGCATGCAAACAAGTTTTGTAATCGTATAATAAAACTTAATGTGAAATTATTTTTAGATTAGTTAGACCAAACCAAATAAGTTGAATATGCTACATGGTATTCAAATTTGCAATGAAGTCCATTCTTTTGGAAGAGTGCCATTGAGATGGTTGGGGTGAGATCACTGTTAAATACAATATAATTAAGATAGTTAAAATTGAGTCTAAGAAGACTAAGTGAGCATAGTTTTCAAGAATGTGTGAACCAAATATTATCAATTTGCTTTCTATAAGAGAAATGTAAGGTTGGCAAATTCAAGTGGAAGCATACTGGAAGACTCAACTTTTGAGAAAACTACGTTCAAGTTATGGGAACTTAAAGTTGGTGATATTTGCTAGAAATATGAAGTGGGGTTGTTGGATGAAGTTGCAAATTTTTGGCGCCAAGTTTGAAAGTTGCTGGCCTGGGAGCAATTCTGTTGGGCTTTTTTTTTATAGTTGTGATGGTTTAGGTAAATCCACAGTCATTTAGCCTATGATTAAGACACCTTTTATGTAGTGTACTTGTAGTTGTTAATTATCTATGATGAGGATAATTGTTTGCAAATATCTTTTGCAGATTAGGTGCAACAGTGTACAAAAACTTTTGTATAAAAATTATGTTTATGTTAATGAAAATTAGATCTCTCTCTCTCTCTCTCTCTGTCTTAAAAAAAAAAAAAAAAAAAAAAAAAAAAAAAAACCTCTTCCTTTGCATTCTCTAACTTTGACAAACCAACATATGGTATCAAAGCTGCTTACCGAGACTTAAAGGACTTGAAGTCCATCTTTCACATATATTCTTCATCTCTTCTCCACAAAAGACTTCCATATAAGTCTACTTAAATCACCTTCATGGCTTCAAACACCACTCTTTTGCTCTACCAATTTCAATAGAGAGCAATACCATATATGGGCTATCAAAATGAAAGCTTATTTAAAAGGCCAAGGTCTTGGCAATATGTGGGAGGAGGAGAAGCAGCCACCACAACTGGGACCAACTCCCATGCTAAATCATTTAGACTTCATGAAGAAGAGGCAACAAAAGCTCCAAAAGCTTTGTCCCACATCCAGGTAGTGTCACAGATCAAGTATTCACAAGGATTATGCTTGTAAGACAACAAAAGAAGCTTGGGACAAGTTTAAGGAGGAGTTTAGTGGAAGTGACAAACAAGGAACATGCAAGTTCTGAATTTGAGAAGGGAGTTTGGAATACTGAGAATGTAAGAATCTGAATCTGTCAAGGATATGTTGGCTGCTTATGAATGTTGTCAAACAAAAATCAAATAACTTGGTGAAAAGATGACATATAAGAGGATAGTAGAGAAGGTATTGGTGAGTCTACCAAAGAGATTTGGGTCCAAGATTTCATCTCTTGAAGACTCGAATGACCTGTCTCAGATTACCCTTACAGAGCTTGTTCATGCCTTACAAGCTCAAGAACAAAGAAGAATGCTGAGGCAAGAAGGTAGCAATGAAGGAGTAATGATGGCTACACACAAAGGGAAACCTTTTCAATGAGGAAATAAGAAATTTGCTGGAGATAGAAAAGAGAAGGAAAAGGCCAACAATTAGTGGGGAATAATGGAGCAAAAAGAACTTATCCTTCTTGTCCACATTGTAAGAAGAGAAACCATGGCCTAACATTTAATGTAGGTCCTGGAAGCAATTTGGCCATATTGAGAAATTCTGCAAGAACAAATCAAACCAACCATAGTAGCAAGCACAAATGGTCGAAAATCAGCAACAAAGTTAAGAGTCTGAGCAATTGTTTGTGGCCTCTTGTTATGCAACTCATGCCTGCACAGAAACTTGGTTGATAAATAGTGGCTACACCAATCATATGACACCAGACCTAAGAATTTTCCGGACTTGGACCTAATAATAATCATAAAAAGAAAACAAGACTAAATGTTTTCCAGTCAATATGATGAGATGATGACTGGAAATTAAACTTTGACCTTCCATGCATTGATTTTCATCAAGGGAACAGTACTATCACTCATCCTCATCATATTTGTTATACATCAACATCTATGTTACTCATCCTAACTATATTCTCTTATCAGGTCATAAAACTATTAGCTTCACCCAAAACATTTATAGTTTGTAGCTAGGGACAATGTTTTAATAACCAACTCAAGGTGAAACCTGACAAAGTAACCGGGTCTTGGGTTGATCGGATCGGTGTCCAAAAGTTTGAAATATAACCAAAAAAAAAAAATGTAAAAATTACCTATGAGCCCCTAAAGCTTTGAAATCTTTTAAAAACATCCCAAATATCACAACTGGCGTTGACAAACCAGAACAAATTGGGCTTGTTTCCGATGACAATAACACTCCCCATAACCACGAAAACACTCCCATAAACCTCCTGACCAAAACCCATATGATTTTGTTTTGCGATTTTCGATCAATTCACTCACCGCAAATCACCTTCGTTGCCACCATTGCACTCACCAACCCTTCATCTTCAAAAGCCCCAACATCTCAGCCTTCAATTGTTCACCGGTCACCGTCCCAATTTCTAGGGTTTTTGGTTAATAGGAAAATTGCAAACTTGGCCCGATGAAGGCCTTGGGTCCCAATTGAACCGGTTCAATCGGCCAGCCAAGCCGTGTTTTAAAACAATGGCTAGGGATGTCAATATTATCACATATTTCACCAATTTCTTAATAGTACAACGTGCACTTGTCACTCGTTAATTTGTCATCCTGTGTCAGTAAGAAGAAAAAGATTGCTATGATTTTCATAACACAAGAAAAAATTAGTGTTTCATTATTGTAATAAGATACAATATGCACAAGATTTAAGTCCCCAAAAATATTAAGAGAATTTGAACTGTATTATATACATTAATCATGGGAAGATTTTGAGGAGGAGGCAGTCCAGGAGGCGTATGAAATGGAAGTTTGAGCCATTGAGCTTTGTATGTGATTGTCTCTTACCGCTTTAAACATCAAATAAGACTCTTCATTAACTTCACAAACCTTTTGAATATCAGAGGAAGCAGCAGGCCAGGACCCGGTTGATACTGAGAAATCAGCCTGATTTTTCATTTGCATATGATGATCCTTCAGAGTTTTAAATCTCAAATCTTCACCATAACTCCGTGCTACAGGGACAGCATCTGGAATGGCAGATGTTCCTTCTAGCATGCTCACCACTTCCGACATTGTTGGCCTTAGCGAAGGTGAAGCGTTGGTGCATACAAGTGCTACTTTAATCATCCTTTCGGCTTCAACCTTGTCGAAGTCGGATCCCAGATTTGCATCCACCAACTCCCTTAGCTTCCCACGTTGCTGTAAGTTAAAGGCCTGGATTATGCAAAACAAAAATATTGATTAGAAAGCTTTAACCTTACCTTATGTTACTATAATTCTTAAGTCAGTTTCTACCAAAAAGAGCTCTATGCTTGAAGAACATTTCTTCTAATGTTTTTCTTTAGATCAATAATAATTTCTCATTTTTGAAGCAGGTCCCTGCTAATAAAAAGAAGTAAGATCACATATGAAACAAACTGGTGAATTACCCAATCTAGAGGACAAGAAGAATTAGTCTCTGGCACATAACTCATATTGTTCTTCCCGCTAACAATTTCCAAAGCAACAACTCCAAAACTGTAAACATCTGCTTTGTAGGTCAAATAACCCCATAGCGCATATTCTGGTGCCATATATCCACTGCATATAATATTATCATACGTATCAACATTAGAACAGGAAAAAAATAAATTAATAGTTTTACCGGAGAGATTTCAGCTTACATAGTGCCAGCAATTCGAGTGCTGATGTGAGTTTTCTCCTCCTCATAAAGCTTAGCCAATCCAAAGTCAGATATTTTAGGGTTCAAATCATGATCAAGTAGAACATTAGTTGCTTTAATGTCTCTGTGGACAATTTTGAATCTTGATTCTTCGTGAAGATAAACTAAACCTCTAGCTACCCCAAGACAGATTTTCTGCCTGGTCGGCCAGTCTAATTTCAGTTGACATTTTTCCCGACCTTAAAATAACCATTCCAAGATATATCAGCAAGGAAAAGAAATTATTTATACCCGAATGTAATATCTATATTCATGATTTTTACTGCTTTGACACATCTATCAAGTAAATGTCACTAGCTAGATTACTGACTTACCAAACAAAGCATAGGCAAGGCTGTTATTTTCCATGTATTCATATATCAACAAAAGCTGATCACCTTCAATACAACATCCATAAATTTTCACAAGGTTTGGATGTTGCAAACACGAAATCATGCCTAACTCATTCAAGAATTCGCGATTTCCCTGCCTGGATTTCGTAGATAGCTGCTTCACAGCAATCACGGTAGCATCGGATAACTGACCCTGCAAATTAAAAAAAAAAAAAAGTTCATATACTTTAACCATAAGCAACGAATATAGTTCTGTGTTAAGAATGAAAATTCTGGTAACCAATACCTTGTAAACTGGTCCAAATCCACCTTCTCCAATTTTGTTGGAAGAATCGAAATTGTTAGTGGCAGCTTTAATTTGCTTTAGGGTAAAATAACTTGTGTGGAGATCATCTAGTCCTTTAAAATCTGTCCAAAGAAAGAGAAGTATGCTTTCATTGAGTTTCCAGAGTCATGTATTTATTGACTCGATTTTAGTTTCGTATAGATTGGGAAAATAAGCATCATCCTACATCCTTAATTTGAGAACTTGTTCTTAATCAAACAAGTTCTCAAATTAAAACAATGTTATAAATCTATGGCTAAATATCCTCTGAAACTATCAGTCTTAAATTGCATATCTATGCTGTCAAGAATAAAGATGTCATTGTTAAAGGTGCAAAAGATTCTACTCTTCCCAATCAAGAACTTCTGCAGAGTTGACAATGACCGGCATATAGAATTTTTTGTTTCAAGCTGTTACTTCTCTATATAAATGAAATTCAAACCTGTTTCTCTCCCACTATTAGTTGTGAAGTATCTCCGACACAGGATACCAAATGCCAAAAATATGAAAAAGAATCCTACAACACCAATGCTGACAACAATTGGTACAATCTTCCTTTTTTCCCCTCCATAATGGGGTTTGAAATCTGCCCAAAAGAACCCACCAAGCAATTAGGATAGAAACAAATATATACAAAAACCTGGATGGATATTACACCATATTTTATACCAAGCTTCTTACCACTAGAGCATTTCCATTTGTATGGCTGAACCATGATTATAAGATTATGGTGTTAGTCAATTACGAAATAGAGGAAAAGAAGAAAATCACTCACTGGGATCTACAGAAATAGCTGATATGAGAGGCCCATAGACTCCACCTTTAGGAATTGCAGTAGTGCCTTTGCCAGCCCAAATGAAGCAGATCTGTAAAATGTTACTTGTAACATTGGCCTTATATTCTTTTATAACTGGCTTTAGAACCCCAGAAGCTATAGCTTCTATATCAAAATCCTTCTCAACAAGTTTGTCCTGCAAAATGGACAGAAAGTGATACCATCTTGAATTTTATTTACTGAGCAAAAAGTCCATCAGAATCTCTAATCCAAAGCATTGCCTTAAGAATATATAGCTAGAAACATGGCACAAAATGATCAACCTAAAACCACAAGTGACACAGCATTTTAATATGCCAGCATCCATAGATCTCACTTTGAGAGACACATTGTCTATCAGGAACTCACAAAAAAAAATGATTCTTGATTGACATTAATTACCTGAACATAGATATCGAATTTGCGCCTGCCAAGGCTCCTATACGTTTTGTCATTTGTGAATTGGATCTCCGCAAAGTGTAGACTCACAGTATAACTACCATTTTCTAAACAATATCCAACATAAGTAAGCAAGAGAGGAGCAATGCGAGCATTAGAGTATAATTCAGAAATCTGTGATGACTGCAAATTTGCAATGTAATTGGTGTTTTGCTCATCATCATCATCCATGAAGTCCCCAGTACTACTGAATCCCCAGTTAGTATTGGCATTAAAATAGAATGTTGCGACACCACCACCAACTCCTGCATCCCCTTCGAATGTCCTGCCATTTATTTTTACAGTTTCTCCACCACAGTTAATGTACAAAGAGTGCCTATCTGTGAAACAGAAAATTGTTGAAGACTAAATAAGCAAGTAAGGAGCTTTTAAGATACTTTTAATGCACAGACAAAATCAAAAAGCCAAACAATCCTGTACAGTGAAAATATAAGTAAATTTCTTATCCATTCTAAAGAAATCATCTGCATTGTGAAAATATTTACTGTACTTCAATCTTTCTATCAAGCACTTGGAGGAAATCAAACTATAAAAAATAAAAAGTTGAGTTCATACATTTTTTATTAGTTTTTACCTTTTTCTCTAGGAAAAATTAAAAGAAGAAACTCATATTGAACTAATCTGTATAAGATAGGAAGCACTATAAGAGAGGGAACTGTAAGGAAGGATTTTGATTCCTGATAAGCCACCTATTACTAAGAGATATATCAAGCAAGGGAGAAGGGCCACTAGAGGGAATAAAGGCAGTGAGAATTAGTTAGAATATTAGACACATGTGTCCTGATTTTATAGGATATTATTAGGGAGCTGAGAGTGCTTATAGGGACTAATTTCATGATTCCATTAAGTTGTTTTTCAAAAGGAATAGTGTTGCGAGGTCACTAGCCCCTCGAACTGCTAGTAACCCTATTTTCCATTCTTGTTCTTCATTATTTTTTTTTCTTTGCTCTTCTTTTTGCTACTATAAATCAATATAATTCTTAATTACTTGTTTCTTATTAATTTTGTGTTGTTGATATTGCCGGATTGTGTGAGTTATGTTATTGGAATAGCTAGTTTGGGTTGAGGTCTGTATCAATTACCCAGCATTAAATAGCAACAATTTAGTATATACCAAAAAAATTGTTTCCTCTTCCTACATATTTTCAGCAATCAAACAGAGAATAAATTACACATATCAGATTTTTTTTTTAATTCAACGTTCACATACTCTAGAAGTCCTCCACGGTATAATGCTCTCCTTTTGTTGTCAACAAGTCCTATTCTATTATCAGTGTTCTTAAAAAACAACTAGATTGCCAAGCCTTTCTTCAACTTACTTTGAATAAGACATCTATTTATATGGACAAATATTTTCGATTCAAATAGTAATAACATGACAAAGAACCGTAATTATGGATATTGATTAATGTAAAACACTTACATCGTTGACATTTGAAATCATCCATGCAAGGAAGAGCTCCACTTCTAGTTTAAACCAAGAAACAAAAGCCAGTAAGCACCATGTAGATACCAAGAAAAATCAATATCACTTGACTAAGCAATGGCCACTGTTAAAAGAACTATTCTGTTCATTAATGGTCAAACTGTAAAGCACATTAGAAAATCTTATACTAACTTAACATGCTGTAATATGAGTAATGGAACTTTTAAAACTAATGCATCTGTCTTCCCAAACACTAAAAGATCTTAGAAAAGAAAAGGTGGGAAAGCAACTAAGATCAGATGATAGCTTGATTAGCTATATCTGCAAACTTCCTGATAAATCATCACTAACCCAGTAAGTTGAGCAGGAAAAATATTAAAACAAAAAAATAACTTACATGTTTTTCTCCACTGAAGAGCTTCGGAACAAGTTCAGATTTAGATTTCTAGCAAGCAAACAAAAGAGAAATCAAATGTCAGCACTTAGATACACAACACAAGTTTATAACACAGGGAAGTATACAGAATTGATTACTTAATAAAAGGAAGAAATGTACAGACGGTTTCTCCGGACAAGCAGACTGCTCAACGCTTTGCCAAGTGAAATTATTGTATGAAAGATCCCTGCATCCAGTGAAACAAAACTATCTTTTCAACAATGCTAGAAATTTGATGTCTAAAGAGGATGTAATTGGAAGATGCATGAGGACGTCCTTCTACACATTAAACTTTGGTTGTTCTATATCTAGCAGTAATACTCAAAAAGAGAGAGGAGCAGAATATTAACATGATTAACATCCGTTGCCTCTCACTATCATCTCCAATCATCTACATCACTATATCCTAAAACAAAAAATGAGAAGGATAGAATGTGAGTATCAAATCCAAAGTTCAGTACAGCTACTGGTGGAAAGAATAATTGTAGGAAACACAGTGAATAAAGTGCATGTAAAATGGAGAATCCACAAAATTGGGACCCTAGACCAACATCAGCAAAAGTAAATGGATATAAATTATTTTGAAACAAACTCATATTCTTTACTACTTTGCACTAGTAACAAAAAAAAGAAAGATGTAGTATCTATAGAAGCTGGTTGACTAGATCGGCAATCTCTTAGGAAATCCTCTTGTTTGTGGAAAATCCCCCTACTTCTTTCCTCGCTTCTACTTATTAAAAGAAAAAATCCATCAGCCAGCTAACTCTATATGCAAATTGATAACCAATTCTTTCAACAAATGATAGTATATTGATGTGTTTAAGGAAACCAACTGTTGTAGCACATTCTCATGGCTTTATCAAATATTAATTTCAACTGCAAAGTAAATCAACTGGAAAATATTTTGTTATGGTTAATATTATAGAATGAATCATACAAGGATGGATGCAAACAAGTTCCTCAAATCAGATAGACGAAGAATCTAAGCATTTAGAGATAAGATACATACACATTAGATCCTTTCTTCAAGATTGACTTTGGTATATTCCCACTGAGAAAGTTGCCACTTAGAAAGCTGATCAAGGCCAGATCAAGCAGTTAATATTAGACATTGCTAAATTAAGAATTACGTAGGTCTAGAATTCTGGTTTCATCAACTTACATGAATTTAAAAATTCCATAGATGCGAACATAGGGAAGTTCCCCACTTAGCTTATTGAAACTGAGATCCCTATCCAAAATCACAAGATAAATCTTACAATTATTTGCATATAGGTGTAAACCTTAGGCCCTAATAACATCTGCTGATCAATTTCATTGCAACAAAACATTAATTCTGCACTAAACTGAAGGAACATCTCACTAATAGAAGAGTAACAAACAGAGGGCAACTTATGTTCAACCACCATGGTGATTAAATAGAAAGGAGAATTTATCAATTTATGGACAGAAAATAGACAGAATTACAATTTAAGTACACACATTGGGGTAAGAATATATTTACCCAACTAACATAATCAAATTGAAAAAAAGAAACTCATACAAACAATTCTTCTGAACAATGCAACCATTCAAAAAGATTTCAAATTTCAACACTGACTCTTAAAAGACTAAAAACAACTTTTTTAAGTATGTTTTCTCTGACTTTGAGATTAATTGGTTTGACACACCTCCGAATGTGATTCACTGAACAATACTGCACAGAGGATTTTAGTTTCTCGCATAAGGCATGTTAACGCATCTTAATAGAAAACGTTAATACGTGCCTTAAAGTGATTGCAATAGCTGATCCAGTAGTTACAGAAGACAAGGGAGCATTAATTGTATCACAGTACCAACCACGCAAAATAGTACTACTGATGTTATTACATTTTCATATATGCTATTTAAGATGTTGGTGTTCACTTTATATGTATTTAAGCACTATTCTACCCAAAAACTAAATCTAGTAGGTAAAGCCTAACAGAAGTAGTTAAGGTTTAACACACTCTCTCATATGCAAGGCTAGATTGAAAATAATCAATCATACGACAGCCACAACCACCACCACAAACACAAACACAGCAAACAAGACAAACAAAAACTTACAATTTAGTTAACATAATAGAGGGAATTCAACACTAAACTTGTAGTGAATCTAAGTTTAATATCATGTTAATTAACTATTCAACCCAAATGCTTAAGGTCATGGCACAACGGTAGTATCTAATATCTAAGGTAATAAAGATTGCACTTTAGAAATGAAATACTCAACATACTTACAGCAGTCGCAGATTATTAAGTCTCCAGATATATTCAGGTATCTCTCCTGAAATACTGCAGTTCTTCAAAATTCTGGAAATGCAATGTTACTCAGGAGATATATACAATTCTAAATTGAATAATTGTACTCATCCATAACATGATATAGAAATGGCAATGAACCTACATCCTTATAATGTTCGACATGTTTCTAAGCTCAGGAAAAGCTTGCCTTGCTCCAGTTATGTCACTAATCTTCCTGTATATAACAGAGTCATTGTAAACAGATCAGTAAACTCATCATACACTAATCTGATAATTTAATTTACAAAATCATTCAGATCCATGTAATAGAATAGTTGAAAAACATTCACTCACAATTGAATTAGATTTTCCAAAACAGAGATGGATGACGGAATTGGTCCATCCAGTCCACTACCTAGAATTTCTCTGCATCAACTCAAACAAATCAATCCAGAACATTCGATAAACAAATGTAAGTTGAAGAATCTACAGAAAGCAAGTAACCTTACAGTCTCTGAAGTCGCTTCCAGTTTTTTATGTATTCTGGTATACTCCCATTGAAGTTGTTGTCATTAATCCTACTGCATTGAGCAATAGGAACAGATTACGGCTTATTGTCCTGCTAAGTGCCTATTTTTATGACAATTTAAAAAAAAAAAAAAAAAAACTTACAAGTCAGTTAAATTTTTCAGCTCAGCAAGTTCCATTGGCAAATTTCCAGTCAACCTATTGGAGGACAGCCTCCTGCAACGAAAAATTAATTGATCCCCCAATGAATATCCTGATCAGGCAAAGAAAAAAAAAAGAAAATAGAAATGAAGACGAAGAAACCTTTTAAAGGCCTTACAAAGTTTCCAAGTGAACTAACTTCCCCAGCTCTGAAGGGACTGTTCCGGAAAATTGGTTCACTTCAAGGTCCCTGGTATAGATCCATTACATAGCCACGCAAACATATTGGTCCAAAAACTGACAACAGACTCATATCCGGACACATGAATATACACAGACAGAAAATATTCTAAGAAGTTGTTAAAGAATTACTAAATGATTTTGTGTGCATTTTGATGGAACAATAAGTCCAGGCTTTTGAAGTTCATCCAGAACCAAGAAACGTGAGAAATAACAAATGGATATCATCAATATTTTCGGAGAAGGTACCCATCTCATTGAACAAAAAAAATTGTCATTCCTTTTTGACATCCAAGAATACTAAGCGAGTTTGAAATTTCACGAAGTTCATAAGAAAACAAATGAGGAAGTTATAATCTGTTCAATTTTACGAGTCCAGATATCAAATGGATATTTTACCCACTATATACAATCACCATATAATTAAACAAACTGTGTAAACAAGTTCAAAACTTACAAGTATGTGAGACCAGTAATGTTCCCCAAAAAGCTTGGCATGTTTCCCAATAACCGATTCCCAAAAAGAGAGCTGCCAATTAAAGAATGGTTCATTAAATTAGCGTAAACATGGTTCTATTTTCTTGAACTGATCAGAAAAATGAAGATAGAACTTACATGTACGTCAATTGCATCGAAGCCCATTCACGTGGGATTGGACCACTTAAATAGTTGTAAGCAAAATCTCTGCATCCCACAACAATATCTATTTAAATCTGGAATTTTCCCTTTTCTTCTTTACTTCTTAATTGCCAAGAAACTTAAGAGAAATACAAGAAAATAAACTAGCGTTTCACCATGTTTGGTTTGGGTATATGAACAAAAGAACTAAAGATGATTATAACATTCTAACTGTTATATACTTACTTTATTTCATGATGTTAACAGGAACATGCAACTCACCCGAGAATCCAGGTCAGCTGCTTTTTCTTCTTTAAACAAATTATGACCCAACTTTTAGACTGTTAGACTAATACACTTCGAGTAACCAGATTACATCCTATTCCCAAATTCATTTAAATGTAACCTAAGTTGAAAATGTTAGAATTTACAGAAAATGCATGAATCTAATATTCCAAAACTAGTGTCATTATATGTGTAAAAGGAATTTGTGTCATTGGTCTATCATATATATGTATATACACTCACATTTCTTGGAGGTAAGGAAGATGAACAAGTTCCGTTGGAAGGGTGCCCGGAAGACCAAAAAGCAGGATCTTTCTGAAAACCAAAACAAACCCAAAATTTATTACATTGCAACAATATTATCAAGATTGATAATTAGCTAATTAGAGAAAGAAAGAACCATCTATTGTCAAACAGGGTTTTGGAAATGAAGCGCGCTCTTCTTTGGAGAAAAATGGCGTGCTAGGTGTGGAGGGAAAATTAAGATAAAGCTAACGGGCTACAAAGGTTAATGAAATATTAAGGGGACGGATTTTCAGAAAATAATTCTTTAAATTTAATTAGGTTTATTTTTCTCAATTTTCAACTTTTCTTTACACTTTTTTCACCAAATTTCTTAATTTCAACTTATTTTATTTTCTCCAGATCCATTTCAATATGTTTTCCATAGTTTTATTTTTATATTTTTATCAAATAAAATAAAAGGTGTCAATAAGTATAAAAAATTAGAATTAGGGTTTATGTAAGATTAAATATTAAAAACTAAAATAAAAATATAAAATATAACATGAGTGCATTTATGTTATTTCTAGTAATTAAATTTATCAAAACAAAAAATAAATTTTAAAGTGCAGGGTGAAAAAGCTGAAAATCAGTTCTCGAATCATTGTCATGACAAACCAAATATTATAAACAGTTGGGTTTAGGGCCTTGTAAATTGGGGATCAAACTAGATTGGACAAATTAAACCAGCATATTGGAACTACACAACTAGTACAAAGTATCGTATTATACAAGGACACAAACTGCACCAGAAACTTACAAGGCTATGATGTGGCAGGTGTTGTTCTCAAATCCACAGTCACAAGTAATGTTCCTCCGAGGATCCATTGATAGAACTGGTTTAATATCCACATAATCTTCACAAGCATCAGAACCGAAGGTCCAGTTAGCTCCCATTGTTTTAACAATTTGATTGAGCACCTCAACTGCAGAAGAAAGCCATTAGCAGAGTTACAGAAGGCCACGGACAGTCACAATACAAAACTAAAATTTAGAATAAAGAAAGGCTTCTAATGGACCAAATGAGGAATACTCAGAACAAGAATAAGTGTGTATTTACCCTCATCTTGATGCAGCCTAGTAACAGCAAATATTTGCATGCATAAGTAACCCAGAGCTATAACTGATACAAGAACCAAATGTTTGAGAGGAAACATTTCTGGGAACAGAAAATAAAGCTGTCTTTTTGCCTTTGTTCTTCTGAGCTATATACACTATTCTCAATGTCTTTACTCTCATTTTTATAAAGTAAGAAGCACCAAAGATAAAAAGAAATTGCAAGTTGCTGCTTTGTAGTCCGTAGTTGACATCTACTGGAGTGCAATTGATTGACTAATACGATAATACTGTGGAAGATGGTCAATTTGTCATATTCTATTGTCTGTAAATGGTTTTTCTAGCAAGTGAACCCACACTTCAAGAAAGCTTATCACATGCACACATGCTATACAGATCCCTTTTGACCTTTGGCTTTGAGAGCTTTACTGGTAAGCTGATTTCATACTGTGGTATTTTGGTTTCTTTATCAAAAAAAATTTATACTACATTTTTCTTTCAATATTTTATACTTCTCTTCTCTTCTTCAACTCACAAATCCATAAGACTAACTTAAAATGAAAAATAAATCAATTTTTCTTTCAAAATAAATTTCACCAATGGTGGTCTCTTGTAGGCTTTGACCATGAGAGACAAGTCAAGATTCATATAGGTCATGGGCTTGCAGAGGAAGAAACTTCCTTCCCTACTTTGACTACAATTCATTCCATGGTAGTCTCTTGTAGACGTTAAACCTCAAATTAATTACTTTCTATGGGTGAAAATTGCTTGAAAGCCACATCTGCATTATAGGGAGCTACTACCTTACTTGGGCAGGTGGTAAGCTCCCAAGTCACTCTAAATCAGAACAATTCCTTCACTATCACCATTGTGCATTACTCATAATGACCATTTTACTAATATTTCTACTATTCATCATCACCACATTCTGACCAACTGAACAGTCCTTAAACATCATCAAGAAGAAAAATTTGCCATTATTTCCTTCAATGTCAAAAATTAGTACTTTGTATATGTAATATGATACAACCTTTGAGTAAAAAGTTACAATGTATAATACGGGTCCTCAAAAGTTGAAAGTTAAAAAAAAAAATAAAAGAAGGCAAATGTATTTGCATATTAGTATAATTCAAACAGTACGCATATCTTGGACAGATTTAGAGGAACTAGTCTGTATGTGACTGTCTCTTATGGCTTTAAACCTCAAATATGACTCTTCATTAATTTCGCAAACATCATCAGCCGAGGAAGAACCAAAAAAGGAGCTACTTGATGTTGGATAATGAGCCTGGCTTCGTGCCAAATCCTGGTTAACTTGTTTATGATGATCTCTTAGAGTTTTAAACCTCAAATCTTCATTGTTTCTCCCTGATAAAGGTACTGCATCTGGAATGGTAGATGTTCCTTCCAGCATGCTCACCACTTCAGACATGATAGGCCGTAGTGAAGGTGAAGCATTGGTGCATATGAGTGCCACTCTAATCATCCTTTCTGCTTCAAACTCGTTGAATTCAGATCCCAACTTTTGATCCACTAACTCAATTAGCTTTCCACTTTGTTGTAAATGAAAGGCCTGGACAATAAATAATTAATAACCAAAACAATAACGGTAAAAATCCTATAATGTCAAGATCTTCACAAAAAATGGGCTATTACATATCCCAGATGTTCTTAAATTTTTTTTTTTTTTTTTTTTTTTTTTTTTTTTTTGGTTTCATGGACTGACATATTTGGACTCTTCAGTGGCTTTTGTAGGAGTAAGTCACCAATATAACTTGTGATGTGACTCGAGAACATTTCTTCAATTTCTTTAAATCACTAATAATTTGTTTCTTAAGCAGAGTACAAGTTAAAGGGTTTAAAGCAGAAAAAACCCCAAATATAAATGTCTAAGAAACATGCCAAAACCAAATATTTGATGATACAAATTGAGGGGAAGCCATACATCTTTGAAAGTAAATGTAAAGGACAAATTAGTGAATTACCAATTAGAGGACAAGAGCAATCTTCATCTGGCACATAACTCATATTGTTCTCCCCGTAATAATTTCCAAAGCTACAACCCAAAAAACGTATAAACATCTGCTTTGTAGGTCAAGTAACCCCACAATGCATATTCCGGAGCCATATATCCTCTGCATGTAAATAATAACGCATATACATTTAAACATTGAAAAAAAAAAAAATTGTTAGCTATGAACGAGGCACTTGTGCTTACATTGTACCAGCAACTCGAGTGCTAATGTGGGTTTTCTCCTCCTCATAAAGCTTAGCCAATCCAAAGTCGGATATTTTAGCATTTAGCTCCCTATCAAGCAGAATATTGGTGGCTTTAATGTCTCTGTGAACAATTTTGAATCTTGATTCTTCATGAAGAAAAGCTAAACCTTTGGCTACTCCAAGACAAATCTTCTGCCTAGTTGGCCAATCCAGTTTCAGTTGACACTGATCACGACCTTAAAATAACCATTCCAAGAAATGTTACTAAAGAAGACTAATACATTTTACATATATATAATCACTACGCTCCTACTATACATTTCTTATCTGTTATAATCTATCAAGCAATGTCGCCAAGTTAAACTTACCAAACAGAACATGGGCAAGACTGTTATTTTCCAGGTATTCATATACCAGTAATAGTTGATCCCCTTCAACACAGCAGCCATGAAGTTTCACAAGATTTGGATGTTGCAAACATGAGATCATGACTAGTTCATTCAAGAATTCACGATTTCCCTGTCTTGATCTTGAAGAGAGTTGTTTCACAGCAACTACAGTACCATCTGATAACAGACCCTGCATCAATGGTCATGCCATAAAAGATACATATATATTAAGCAGAGCATTGAGGAAAGTTCTGCATTAAGAAAGATTGGTGAATGGCAGATAGCTTGTATACCTTGTAAACAGGTCCAAATCCACCTTCTCCGATCTTGTTTACGGGATCAAAATTGTTAGTGGCAGCTTTAATTTGCTTTAAGGTAAAAGAAATAGTTTGAAGATCTGATCCTTTTATAAGATCTGTCCAAAGAAAGAGAGATAAACATGCTTTAAATGAGCTGTCCAATTCCTTTCCTTATTTGTTTCCTTCAATTTTATACAGATGGACAAATATGCATCATCATGCAACCTCACAGGTGCTAGGCACCATAACATATTCCAAGGTATGTTTCATAACTAGACTAGAATAATAGCACTTCCAAGTTTGAATTCAAATTCAAAAGAAAAGTGAGAAATGCTTTGTAAGATGGTTTCAGAAAATAATCAGGAACGCATAACAAGAGCAGTAAAAAAAATCTAATGGTAGTTACGTCATAAAAGTTTCAGTATTAAAAGACTTCATCGATATTTTTGTGGCTAAATACTGCCGAACAAAAGCCTTTAATGTATATCTAAAAGTTTTCAAGAAGGAAGTTGAAGTTTTCAAAGTGGCTAAAAGATTATACATCCAATAAACAACTTTTGTAGTGGATAATTATTAAGCACCATAAAAAAGATTTTATTGTGATTTTTCAATCTGAAAGAAGCACAAACCTCCTTCCTTGCTTCTCTTGGTTCTGAAATAATATCTCCAGCATAAGATGCCCAAAGCCAAGATTATGAGACATAATCCAAGAACAACACCAACAACAATCGGTACAATATCCTTCTTTTTGGGTCTGAAGTCTGCCAGAAGAAACCACCAAGCAATTACGATAGTCAGAAACATAAATGCTAACTTGGAAACAGAACCTAAAACTGGAGTAATTGTTAAGTGGTTTGGGCATGAAACTGAAGTTCAAAACTATGGTGACTAGGCTTAGTTATATTGTCAGATATCACTATGAAGAAAATTTATTTCTTTCTCTTATGATTGAAATTGGATAAGAACAGATTAAAAATCAGTTTGAGCATAAAAAGCAAGGCTCTTAGTCATCTTATAGATGCAAGATATCTAATACTTGAATAGCCAATATGACATCCATACTATCTTATAAGATATAAGTGACAAGATTTGATTATCAATAAGACATGCTAAGAACTTTTACACTATCCCAAGGCACCTAATTACCAGACTAGTTAGTATCTACTTATCCAATGTGTTTATATTTTTATTTAAATTATGCTAAAGTTTATAATTGCATTATCATATTTCCTCTCAGTAGCATTGCATGTCTAATCATGTGACTACATATTGTAACCTGATCCGCAAAATTGAGTTATATGGATTGAAATGCAAAACTACAGTTAGAAGTAGATGTATTATAGTTCATACTTTACAAGAGCACTTCCATTTGCATTGCTAAAACGAGAAATAGAATCTATTATAATGATAGTCAGTGCGAGGAGAAAATACTTACTGGGATCCACCACAGAAATAGCTGATACAAGAGGGCCATAGACTCCACCAACAGGAATTGCCGTAGTCCCTCTGCCAGCCCAATTGAAACGGATCTCTAGAATGTTATTGGTAACAGTGGCATTATCTGGTACTGTAACTGGAATGAGAACCCCAGATGCTTCAGCTGCTATATTGAAATCCTTCTTAACTAGTTTGTCCTGCAATATGACATCCAATGAAATCTTTTCAGAATGTTAATTTCCTATAGGGAAAATCTCCATCTAGCCTATGATCTAAACTCTAGATTCCCAAGAACAAACTTGATAAGTGGCACATGTTTAGAAACATATTTCACAAGATGGTAAGCTGAAAATGAAAATTTTCTTTTTTACAAGAAAGAATATAGATATCATTGATGCAATAATCACAAAAGAGTGAACATTGAACAACTTGTCCACAAAAGTTAAGATCCATTTAAAGGATCATAAAACTCTATACATTACAAAATGAACAATTAACACAACGTTTTAATAGCAACGACCTGTAACCTCACTTATAATCCATCATATCTTTCAACACATTTGTCCGATTCTCAAGAAGTTACAGCTAGAAATATCTCAAAACTACATCTTCTAATAGTGTCAAATTACCTGAACATAAATATCAAATATGCGTCTTCCGAGGCTGCTATAGGTATTGTCCTTTGTGAACTTGACTTCCGCAAAGTGTAAAATCACATCATAGTTCCCATTTGCTAAACAATATCCAAAATAAGTTAGTGAAAGAGGAGATTTGCGTGCATCACTATATAATGCAGAAATCTGGGATGAATTTGAGTTCTCAATGTAATATGTGTTTTGTTCATCATCATCATCTGTGAAATCTCCAGTGCTACTGAATCCCCAGTTAGAATTTTCATTGAAATAGTATGTTGCAACACCTCCAGCAACTGCTGCATCTCCCTCAAATGTGGTCCCATTAACTTTGACATCATTTCCGCCACAATTAACATGAAAAGAGTGCCAATCTGAGAAGGGAAGAGAAGCAAATTTCAGTTAGTATCTTTGGAAGAGTTCTAAGATATTGTTCATGCATTGACAAAATCAGAATCCTAAAACTTTCTTAAGAGGTAGTACTAAGTCTCCGCTGGATAATATAAAATAGTCGTATCTATGAAGATAGAAGAGAGGATGATATTAATCTCTTAAGTGATAGAATCATCTATTTTTGCTTCTCTATGGGCCTCAGTCTCCAAAGAAGGTACAAATGTTTCCCTTGATTCGCTTAACATGGGGAGGAAATATGGTTCAATTTTTGTATTTCCTCTGCTTTGGTTTTTGGGATAGGGCTGTTTTTCTTTTGGTTTATGCAATTTTTTTTCTTCTTTTTTTGATATAGAACAATACCCCTTTTGTGGAAGGTTTCCGATTCTACCACAATTGTAAATGTATTCTTTCTTAACATTTTATATTTTTCAGTTTCTTGTGGAGAAAAAGAACTCAAATGGTAAAAGTTGCACTGTACTCAGACTATTTGTTTTATTGATCTTTCTATTGAATTTTAAGAAATCAAAATAAATGAAAAAAGGAAGCCATATAAGAGAGGGCGTTGTAAGTGAAGATTGTAAAAGTTTAAGATATCTTTTCTCCCTATATATCAGCACGAAACAGAGCATAAATTGAACCTACGAGATAAAGAGTTTCAAGTGAACGTTTACATAAATGATTTTATGCTCTGGAACTAAAGGGGTCCTTGTGATTAATGAGCATTATTCTATTTTCATGATTCTAGAATTCAACTTTACAACGCCTTGCTTTCCAGCTGAGTTGAATAAGAAACTTATTTTGCTGGATGAATAACATTTGTAATTCCAGAAGTCAATAAATGTCGAGCAAATTCAGAACAGGTTAGTAAACTATAAATATAAACTTCTAGATGATTTACTAACAGTGGCTTTCCAAATAACATACTTACATCGGTCACATTTGAAATCGTTCCTACATGGCTGAACTTCACTTCTAGATTAAGCCACATAAAAACAGGATTAGCATAATATCAACACTATAAGGCCAAGAACATGTTGCTTTCATGCAACTATGAAAAGAAACAGATTGTTTGTACATCTAAATATGAAATACTATGAAAGTCCACAGAGGAACGGCTATCATGCATGAGTAGAACTGTTGCTTTCTTTGACAGACCAATAATAGAACAAAGTAGGAAAATGTTATACTGCTATAGTATGGTAGACTTACGAAATGAAATTTCCAATTCAAGCATCTGTCACCCCTAGTCAAGACGAACTTTGAAAATAGAACAAGTGGAAAAGAAAAAAGATTGGATAACAAAAAATGACTAACTATAACAAGCAAACTCTTTGATGAATTGATAGTTAACAATGCCACTTAAGCTGCAATAATAACAAGCATTAAGAGCAACTTACAAGTTGCTTTTCATTGAAGAGCTTCGGAACAAGTTCAGAGATAGATCCCTAATGAAGTAACAAAAAATGAAGTCAGTATCAGCACTTAGATCCATGACAAGTAATTGCAAAATAGAGAAGTAAACACGGCAGATTATTCATTTACTGAAAGAGAGAATTATACTGACCTTCTATCCTGACAAGCAGGTTGCCCAGGGCTTAGCTGAGTGAAATTATTGTAAGAGAGATCCCTGCATTCAAGAAAGATGCAAAAGTGGAAATTTTATGTATAAAGGTGAAGCAATTGGAAAATGCACAAGGATGTTTTTCTATAAATATCTTTGGTTTCAAAACTAATCCTAGTACTAGAATAGAAACACGAGCAGAATAGTAACTCCTGACTGTCGATCACCCTGCACCATCACCTCAAGTATCTACAACCTCAAATCTCAAGACATCTAACCAGAAGAGATGTATATAAATACTTATCAAATGTAGAAGCACATTGTTATGCCTTCACCAAATATCAATTACATATTGATTTCAGTCCAGAAGCACATGGGCAGATTATTGTATAGATGTTAACAATACATAACAAGATAAACAAATATAGATGCTTTCCTCAAATAAATAGGTTAAGCTTGTAGGATTGAGTTAAGGTACATACACATTAGTTCCTTTCCTCAAGATTGACTCAGGTATATTCCCACTGAGAAAGTTGCCAGTTAGAAAGCTGATGAAGGACAGAGCAATCAGTTAGAATTCTTGACATTATGAAATCAACAATGTAGATCTAAAAATTAGTTTTATTAACTTACATGAATTTCAAGGTCGCAGAAATTGGAACACTTGGAAGTTCCCCAGTTAGCTTGTTAAAACTGAGATCCCTGCCCAAAAATCAAGAGATAATTCATAAATATATAGATATATCGCATGTATAATTTTTTATAAAGTAGAACAATGATTCTGCCTGAGTAAGGGAGCATATGAGTGCATATAGAACAATAAAGACTCTAGGTGGCTTATTTTTTGAGATCTATAGCCGATATGACAAGCAACCACCAGGGTAGTTAAGATCAAAGAACAATTATCAACTTATGGACAGAACATAAAAAGAATTATAATAAATACATATGATATAAAGCAATATCTCTCCAAGTTAGACAGTCTACTGAAAGAACTTTATATAGGGATTCTGTGAACCAAATCAACATTTAAAAAAGTTTTTAATAACAAGATAAGTATAAGCACTTTTCTTAGGTAAGTACTCGCTGATCCTTAGAGATTGATTGGTTCAGTACACCTCTGAAAGTGGTTAGCTTAACGATACTGCCTGCAGGATTTTAGCGACTTGCATCACACATATTTAGGTTTGTTTGACTTTGATACACAACAATCAATAGATGCAGTATACGGAAGAAAAATTGATAAGGTCAGAAAAGGGAGAGAAAGGAAGAAAGGGGAGAAAGTTTATATAAATTCATAATTCAAGTTATCCTGCAGCAATGACTTTGGCTTTCATTTATAGAGCTAAATCATAAATAAAATAACCCTATAGTAAGAAATTAAAACTCCCTATGATAAGAAAGAAGATCAATTCAAACAAGGAAGTCTTCTTTTATTAAACCAGGAAAGAAAATAAAAACAAATTCTAGATATTACAATAAATCCCTAATATCTCTAGGCTTCCCTCAAGGTTGTCCTACATCACAAATTAGTCTTAAAATGTATTTACAAAAGCCAACATAAGTTAAAGTACCCCTAACTAGTTACATTTAAATGAAATTAATTACTAAACATGTAGCATACTCACAAGATTCGCAGTAGATTCATTCCCCAGATATATTCAGGTATCTCCCCGGAAATACTACAGTTCCTCAAAATTCTGAATACCCAATATACATGATGTAAGATATAACAATTGTAAGCTGAGTGATAGTACTTGTTAATCAACATAATAGAAATGGGCGATGGAAACATACATCCTTCCAAAGCTTGTCATGTTTCTAAGTTCAGGAAATGTCTGATTTGTGCTCTTTATGTCACTAATCCTCCTGAATATATCAGTGTCATTAAGTATAGAATCTCTAAGTAACATTATACAGAAAATTGACAAAATAAAATTATATATTAAATCATTTAGAGTCTCGTAGTGTAATAACTGAGATATATTCACTCACAAATGATTTAGCTTTTCCAAAACAGAGATCGAAGGTGGAATGGGTCCCTCCAGTCCAGAACCTTGAATTTCTCTGCATAAATCCCAATGATCAATCGAGAACATTCAAGAATCACAATATGAGCTGCAAAATCTTTGGGAAGTAGAGGATCTTACAGTCTCTGAAGTTGCTTCCAGTTTTGTATAAACTCTGGTATACTTCCATTGAAGTTGTTGTCACTAATCCTACTACATTGTGCAATAAAAAGTTCTTACACTTCCGAAAAAAAAAATTCCATAAATAAAATTAGTTAAAAGCTTACAAATCTGTCAAATTTTTCAGCTCAGCAAGCTCCATTGGCAAATTCCCACTCAACCTATTGGAGGATAGTCTCCTACAATGAAAATTTATTCATCTTCCAATGAATATGCCTATCACGCTTAGAAACTAAATACAAAAGAAGGCATTGTAGATGACTTACAAAGTTTCCAAGTTAACTAACTTCCCAAGCACTGCAGGGACTTCCCCGGAGAATTGGTTTGCTTCAAGGTCCCTTATGAAATTACATCCATTGAGATTTAAAAGACAATGGATCTAGAAACTCTAACAGGCTCATATCTAGACATGAACAGTACACCCACATATACACGCAACAAGATTCAAGAGAAATTAGCAGTAGGCTCTGCGTGTGTGCATTTAATGGAACTAGTCATGCTTTTGGAGTTCTGCTGTCCGTTGGATACAGGAAGCAGAAGGGAAGGAAACAGATAAAATATACTTAGAGAATGAACCCATCCTTTAAAACTAAAAAGATATTTTCTTGTTCTTTCTATTTGTCAAAAGAAATGGGCTGTTGCAAGTTCACAAATTTTCAGAAAAGAATGGAAAAAAAATTAAACAGCAGCAACTACATATTTATGGACAACAATCATCAAATCGTGCACCAAATAATTTACATAAATGAAGGTCAAAGTTACAAGTATGTGAGACTGGTAATATCCCTAACTGATCTGGAATATTGCCTGACAATCGGTTTCCAAAATGGAGCTGCAATAACAATTAAGGATGTTCATTAATCAATGAGACAAATACAATTCTATGTGCTTCAACAGATCAGAAAGGTGCAGATTAGCTTACATATATTTCAATTGCAATGTAGCCCATTCGTGTGGTATTGTACCATTTAAATAGTTATAAGCAAAATCACTGCATTCAGAACAATATTGAATTAAATTTAGAATGTTTGCCTTTTCTTGCTTCTCAAATGCCAAGAACTTCGAAAATAACTGAATAAGTAAACGAGAAATATAAATTATACTATGTGAAGACTTTATCTATTCTCACATTTCTTGGAGGTATGGAAGCTGAACAAGTTGGGGTGGAAGTGTTCCTGGAAGGCTGTAACGCATGAATTGTCTGAAAACGAAAATAAACCCAGAATTAGTTCTATGGAAATAACAATATCAAGTAGTCCTGAAGAAAGTATACCAAGTTTTGATTTAACTGGGGCCAAAATATAGAAATTGATTACTCGTAATGCAATTTTAATGAATCTCTCATTAATGTATAACTAAGATGAAAATTGCTGATAAACACTATCCAATCGATATATAAGTTGAGCTAGAAATTAAGGGCCGGCTAAAAGGCAGTTCAAGAAAAACCTACATTGATACAATGTGCAGGTGCTGTTGGCAATCGCAGTAATGTTCCTGAGAGGACCGTTACCAAACTTGGTTTACGTCAAAAGAACCTTCGCAACATCAGCATTGAAGGTCCAGTTAGGCTCCCATAGTTTGAGCAATTTGATTCAGAACATCAACTGCATCAACACCCATCAACAAGTACTTAAAAGAGCAGCATGCTTTCAAGTTTCAAAGAAAGATCTTTAAGCAGTTTGGGTTCTTTGGTTCATTTTCTCGTAAACACTTATAATTGGATCAAACAAACAGCCATAAGCTTAACACAAACGATTCAGTAAAAGAAGCAAATGAACATGATTTGTACTACCTTCATCTTGAGGCAAAGTAGCAGCAAGAAGAAGCTGCGTCCATGAGAACTCAGAGCAAGAACTGATAAAGGAAGTAACCGTTTGAGGAACAACATTTCTGGGAATCCAACCACGAGCTATCATATCATCTGACAAAACAGAACTACTCCATAGATCTTTGTATATGGGTGATTAATAATAATAACCACTTTTGGACATCTTTCATAAAAAACAACAAATTGAACAGTATAAAATTTTAAAAAATAGCCATCTTTGGTTGGTACTTGGTAGTGCTGTCAAATGTCACCTTTTATATTTTATATTATCCATGTGTTTACACAGAGACGTTGAAATTCTAAAAGGAATTAAAGTCTATACAGTACAAATCAACAGCAGCCGACAAACCATTTAAATGGTATATGACCCAAAACAGCATGAGGCTAAGAACAGTACTAAGGTGTTGATTTAATTATTTCAAATCAGGATAAAGTTAAAAATTCGTTAGGACTCTGCTTAAGGCATTGAAGACATGGCAGGTTACTTAGACAATTTGTTTGCGGACTATATTTGACCACGCAATCATGCATTATTGAATCCTTTTACTTGAGAATCATTGTCACTCTCACTAGAATGTCCTCACAAATTCTTTTTTCAAGATAACTTGTATGGATATGAGTTGGATACAATGGACAACAATACTATGAATTCTGAAGGGCAGACGGACCAGATATGATTGGGCTCATCGAGGGTGCGTCAAAGAATTGATGGCCGGTGCATGCAGCTTACTTTCTTATCATATTCCTTTTATTTTTTGATTTAGTGTAAAGTAACCTTTTTTTTTTAAAAAAAAAAATTCTTTTATTGAATTGAACATAGGAAGTTTAACACATAGCTGCAAGGGCCAATCAAACTCTGTGGGCCGTGGCTGGGAGAGTGCTTGTTTCTTAATTTCATATTAAATTACAACCGAAGCTCCTAGTGTGTTTTTTTTCTTCATGAACGGAGGTATCCGAGTTAGTTACTACACCTTAACAATCCTTCGAGACTCTGAAATTATCGGTCAAATAAAAATACCAAGAATACCCATATTAATATCCTAGTTTTTTCTTCCATTAGATGGAATCATTGCCAAAGAAAAATGAACCTCATGCATATCTATTAAAAATAAAATGAAGATTCAAGCTGTAGAAAACTTGTTAATATTAGCTTGCTGTAGGCTCAGTTTCAATGGTAGTCCTCGCCTCTTGACACATTTATTAGGATTTACTATTACAACCTTTATGTAGCTTTCCTTGAAACAAATTTTCATTAACCTTGTCTCATTATCTTATGTGATCACCAAACAATGATACAATATTTGCCATTGTGCACTGATTGCACTCAGTTACAATCTTGTTGAGACCACAAACAGTCCAATGAATATCAAATAAAATTTACAACCAAAAGAAAAGAGAGAGGAACGTATCTGTATGGTTGAAAGAAAAACAAACTACGTATCTTTATACTATACTAGGAATTGGTATTGATGTTATTATGATCATGGGCCGAGGTTGAAAAAGAGCTTGCCCATGACGGCATAGATGTTGAAAGTTGAACATCTGAACTCCCGGTTTCAATCATTTTATATCCATCTTTAACGACGTTATACCTCAAATATGACTCATCATCAATTGTATAGAGGTCCTCGGCTGATGTCGAATGCTGAGTTTGACTGCGGTTCAGTCCCCGGAAGTCTCTTATGGCTTTGAACCTCAAATCTTGACTGTAACTACCTGCTTCAGGAATGGATCTGGGATGGCAGTTTTTCCTTCCAGCATGCTTACAGCTTCGGACATGGTGGCCTTATGTGGTGAAGCATTGGTGCACAAGAGAGATATTCTTATCATCCTCTCCGCTTCTCTTTGTTGTATTCTGATCCCAGCTTTGGATCCCAGCTCCATTATCTTCTCCTTTTGCTGTAACTGACAAGCCTGCAACAAAAAACACACCATTAATATAATTATCAGCCCTGCAAAATAGTTGGAGGAGTAATGTGATGTAGAAAGTTTCTTACCCAATCTAGAAGACAAGTGCAATCCTTGGCTGGACCATAACTCTTGTTGTTTTCTCCCGCTAACATTTCTAATGCTACAATTCCAAAGCTGTAAACATCTGCTTTGTAGGTCAGGTAACCCCAAAGTGCATATTGGTGCCATGTATCCTCTGCATATATGTTAAAACAATCTAAGTGTTTATACTGAAACAATAACAAAATTAACTTTCAATTTCTTAAGAGAAACATATGGATGGCCTACTTGTTCCTGCAACTCGAGTGCTGATATGGGTTTTCTCCTCCTCATCAAGCTTAGCCAATCCAAAGTCAGATATTTGGGGTTTTACCTTCAAGCAAACATTGGTAGCTTTATGTCTCTGTGAACAATTTTGAACCTGATTCTTCATGAAGAAAAGCTAAACCTTTAGCTATCCCAAGACAGATCTTCTGTCTAGTTGGCCAGTCCAGTTTCAGTTGACAATTTTCACGACCTTAAAACAAACAATATATTCAAGATATTATTAAAAGAAGAAGGAAGCATGATATCTGTACTAGTTTTCAACTTTGTGGTTTATCTTTCTATCTGCTGTCATCAATAAGTAATTTGCAGTAAATTAAACTTACAAACAAGCACTGGCAAGGCTGTTATTTTCCATGTATTCAAAACTAGCAATAGTTGATCTTCAATACAACACCATGAAGCTTCACAAGATTCGGGTGTTGCAGACACGAAATCGTGCCTATCTCGTTCAAGAATTCTCAGTTTCCCTGCTTTGAATTTGAAGAGAGCTGCTTCACAGCAATATAGTACCATCAGGTAACTGACCTGCACAGGAAAAAGAAAATGTAAATATTCTTAGCAGATCATTGGAGAAAGTCATTTATTAAGAATAGATATCATTGTGGCATTAAAGATCAGATTGTATACCTTGTAAACAGTCCAAAACCACCTTCCCCGACCTTGTTCGCAGGATCAAAATGTTAGTGGCAGCCTTAATTGCTTCAAGGTAAAAGAAATTGTTTGTAGATCTGATCTTTTAAAACATCTGTCGAAAGGTAGAAAGATGAGTTAAAAACTTTCTTCGAACACATGTTGCAACAAATATCCTACAAGATTAAAGAAGACAAAACCATTTCTTTACGCCTCTTGACTCTGGAATAGTATCTCCAACCAATGATACCAATGCCAAGATTATGAGACATGATCAACACTGCAATGATTTCTACAATTCTTCTTCTTTGCAGGTTTGTAGTTGCCCAAGAACAACCCACCAAGAAATTATATAATCAGAAACATACATAAGGATTTAGGCATGAAACTGAACTTTATAAATAGATCACTTAAGTATACCATTCTCTTGTGATCAAAATGGATGAAACAGGGGAAATGTGAACTCTTTGATTCCGGTGCACGTGTATTTGAGTTTAAATAGACAAAATTTATAATTTCAGTATATATGCGCTAAGTTGCATATTCTCACATCTGTTATATGTATTCTAATGCATAACGAAGGTAGATTACATTATATTGTCTTCTTCTTACAACAATAGCATTTATATGACATTGTTTGACAAGATTGTTATGTGAAATTAGAAGAGGAGATATCACTCACTGGGATCCACCACAGAAATTGCTGATACGAGGGGGCCATAGACTCCCCTTTCAGGAAGCGCCGTAGTCCCTTTGCCAGCCAATTAAACGGATCTGTAAAATGTTATCTGTGACAGTAGCATTAATTTTCTTGTAACTGGCTTCAGAACCCCTGAAGCTTTAGCTTCTATGTCGAAATCCCTCTCGACTAGTTTGTCCTGCAAAATAAGAATCCGGGTGAAACCTTTCAGTATGTCATTTCCTGTAAGGAACTAACTCAGCTGAACCTATGACCCAAAACTGTTGGCTCCAAGAACATAGAGCTTGAAACTTAGCCCATGTTAGATCATGTGTAGCAAGATTAGGAAATGGATACGATTGATACCTGAATATAAATATCAAACATGCGCCTTCCAAGGCTGCGATATGTGTTGTCATTTGTGAACTGAATCTCCGCAAAATATAGACTGACAACATAATTCCCATTTTGTAAGCAATATCCAAAATAAGTAAGTGAAAGAGGAGCAATGCGAGCATTAATGATAATTCTGAAATGTCTGATGATTGCACAGATGCAACATAAGTTTGTTCTGTTCATTATATCATCTGCGAAGTCTCCAGTGCTACTAAATCCACCGATCATTTGAATAATATGTTGCAACACCACCATTTTCTTCTATCTCCTTCAAATGTGGTCCATTTCTTTACATTATTTCCACCACAATTAATGTGAAAGAGCGCGAGCTGGTGAAAAGAAGAAAATGTGGAAGACCACCTCAGCAAGAAGCTTCAATTATTATTGTTAT